CCAAAAAAAAAAAAAAACAGTGGGACTCTGAGCCACTCTTCATTGTCACTGGTGGGGTCTTTCCTGAGGGTAGACAAGGTAGGGGGCTTGCTGGACTCCAGAACACACCAAGACAGGCATCTCCATGAGGATTCTGCAATCTTGCTGGCTCAAAGTTCATCCTTCATACTAGCTCCAAGGACCTTTCGGGCTAGGGTGTCAAGGCCTGACCCTTAGTTTGGCAATGCCGACCCTGTGGCTGAGACACTTGGGACATAAATCCTTGGCCTTAGGTCCCTGATCTGCCCAAGGGTTCTACTCTTGAACCCAACCTCCGAAGCCCTGTTGACCTGAAAGTGACAGGTCTAAAGGGAGACAGAAAGCTCTGCAGGTCTCCTGGGTGCTGGGGAAAGAAGTCTGTTGACAAAGCCACCAGCTGTCCCCAGTTGGAGCCAGGGAGACAGACTCCTCCCTGAACCACCACCCACACTGGGAGAGCGTTCCTAGCCGGACCCAGCCAGCAACGGACGGACGGAACTTGGACCATCACGAAGCTCCTCCGATCACAGGCTCCAACTGACCTCCCCCCCTCCAGCACCAGCTGCCACACTCACGAGGGCAAGGGCACAAGACCTCACCCAGGCAAGTGCCAGGTGGAAGGGTGTCTCACCTGGGGAAGGGTGACGGGGCAGGGAGGCAGTCCGCACGATTCAACTGAAAATGAAACTACAAACCCAGTGGCATCAAAAGGCCTAGCAGGGATATGTAGTTGATAATACAGGGCTGAGAGGAGGGGGCAAATCTCAGCTCCCACTTCCTACCTTCATGTCCTTTTCCATTCTGTACCTCAGTTTCCCCTCTATAAAAATGTGCCTAACAGTCATGCGGGAGTAATTTTGTCCACGAATCCGTGGAAGGCAGGGAGTGAGCCCAGTGCCTGGCACACAGCAACACGCACTGAACACTTGTTGAATATAAGCATGCCAACATTGTCCGAGGTCCCACACCCTGGCTCCAGACACCCATTTCACAGGTGAGGAAACAGAGGCCAGGAAAGGTAAAGAACCCCTCTCAAGGTCACACAGCTGGGAAGTGACAAACACCCGGGTCTGCCTAACCCTCAGTCCAGAGGGTACTATTGCCCCAGATTGTCCCCCAAGCAAGAAGGGAGGACCAACCGTGGGATGCAGGGTCTGTAGGGATCCTGGCACACACAAGCCAGGTGATGGATGAGTCCTCGGATTCCCGGCAGCTCCCAGACCCCCGCGTCCTACAGGCGTCCCCTCCTCAGGCTGGTCAAATGCTAAGGAGTCCCAGCTCCCGAGAACCTGAGGGAGGAGGGGAGTTAGGGACCAGGCCTCTCAGGGCCCCGGAGAAAACCGGTCCGGCCGCCTTCCCCCCCAAGGTTCCCGAAGCTGGGACCCAGCCTCTAGCCCCCTCCCAGGCTAGACAAAAGTTTCCCCTGTTCGGGAGCCGGGGAGGGGGGAGGGGGGCATTCCTCGGGGGTGACATTATCCGTGACCTACAGCTGCCGCGCTGCCCGGCCCGCACCCCGGCCCGCCCGGCCCCGCGAGGCCCCCCACCCCTTTGTCCTC